TGGGAATCAAGCCTTCAGCCTGGTCATGTAGCCTGGCTGGGAATCAAAGCAGTGACCTCTTGGTTCATGGAGCAATGCCAGGCCACGGAGCCGCATGGGCGGGCTAATGCCTCCATTCATTCACTGACTCAATATAAATTCCCTTGAGGCTGCATGTGCTTGCTGGGAATATAGCAGTGGCTGACCCGGCCTTGGTCCTCCCTCGCTCACGATCAGTGGGGTGACCATTAATACTGACAAGCAGCAAAAATACAAAAGTACAAGATGAGACGTGTACTGAGAGAGCACAGTGCACGGATCCCTGAGAACATACTCGAGGTGCCCCGTCTGGGCTGGGAGGTCAGGAAGTGACACAGCACGAATAAATCCCTCTCCCTTGGACACTTCATTCATTTTTAAGGTCATTTCTTTAGTCATTGTCTTCTCAGCCCACAGACAGGGCCCCAGTGATGGGGCCTGGGCCACAGATGCGACTTCAGCACAACACGCAACACACCCTGGCCCCTGCCTGCTTCCCTGGAGTTGCAGCTCAGGGGGACTCTGCAGTCATTGCCCCACCTGCTGGCCACACTGGGAATGAAATTTAGAAGTGGCCCCAGAGCCACTGCTCTAGACACAGGCGAGCGAAACCTGCCCTCCCTCAGGTGGGCACTGGTTAGGCCCCTCGTGGTGTGTCCCCCCGTCTGGTGACATCGTCAGGACTGGCTGTGGGTTGGCCCCGCAGGTCTGTGGGCCTGAACTGGAAACGGTTCCCCCTGCATCTCTGCTTTGGGCTCGAGTCAGCTCCCTGAGCCCATTAGAAGCTCCGAGTGCCGTCTGCCTTTGATTAATAAAGAATGGGAGAGGGAAGTCATGATTATTTAATAGCATGGCCTGCCTGATAGTAAAAGTTTTTCAGAACACAGGACCCAAGGGGGGGAAATGATAGGCAGTAGAGATGTGTGGGCATCGGGAGGCGGTGGGTGGGAGCGTGGGCATTGGGATCTGAAGGATCTGGGGTTTTGAGACCCAGCTCAGCCATTCCCAAGCAGTGCGGTGCAAGAGCCTTCACCTGCCTGGGCCCTCACTCCTCACTGTCAGATCTCCATGACTACCTCACGCCTATATGCCCACTGCATTTTTATTAGGATTCAATCTGGCCTGGGTGAGAAATGAGATGTCTAGAAGGTGTTTGCCCAACCCTCTGTGGTGTGTGCATATATGTATATGTATATATGCATATAAAATTTTGTTAATCCTCAGCAGAGTATATTTTCCCACTGATTTTTAGAAAGTAGGAGGGGAGAGACAGAGAAACATTGATGTGAAAGACACATTGGTTGGCCGAAACCGGTTTGGCTCAGTGGATAGAGCGTCGGCCTGCGGACTGAAAGGTCCCAGGTTCGATCCCGGTCAAGGGCGTGTACCTGGGTTGCGGGCACATCCCCAGTGGGGGTGTGCAGGAGGCAGAGAGCGTCGGCCTGCAGACTGAAAGGTCCCAGGTTCGATTCCGGTCAGGGGCATGTGCCTGGGTTGCGGGCACATCCCCAGTGGGGGGTGTGCAGGAGGCGGCTGGTCGATGTTTCTCTCATCGAGGTTTCTGGCTCTCTATCCCTCTCCCTTCCTCTCCGTAAAAAATCAATAAAATATATTTAAAAAAAATAAAAAGGAAGACACATTGGTTGGTTGCCTCCCACACGAGCCCCGACCAGGGGAAGGAACTGCGCCTGCACCACGGTACTGCCCTTGCGCACAATCGAACCCAATCCCCGTCTGAGGGCTGAGTCTATCCACTGAGCCAAACTGTCTAGGCCTGAGGTGGATTTTTGTGTGTTCTTTAGGTGGATATTTTAAAAATATATTTCTATTGATTTCAGAGAGGAAGGGAGAGGGAGAGGGAGAGGGAGAGGGAGAGAAATGCCAATGAGAATCATTGATTGGTTGCCTCCTGCACACCCCCTACTGGGGACTGAACCCACAACCCGATCACATGCCTGTGACCAGAATTGAACCCAGGACCCCTTCAGTCCGCAGGCGGATGCTCTATCCACTGAGCCAAACCAGCCAGGGCTATTCTTCGTTTTGTAAACTGAGGCCAGAGAAGTGAAGTCACTGCTCCAAGGTTATCAGTAGGAGGTGCAGAAGTGGCCCAAGGCTAGTGAGCACACACACTCACGGGCCTCGAGGCCACTCTGTGGGTCACCAAAGCGTGCCTTCTCTCAACGACTAGGCCAAACTTTCCCACAGGTCTGGCTGCTAAGAAGGCAGCTCCCATCTCAGACCCACACGGTGACCCCAGCCTTCCCACTAGCTGTCGCTGGCCTGCCTGAAGCCATCTTTGTTTTAAATGACCATTTACTCTAAAACCAGCCAGCTGCCCAGCCAGTGTGATTCAGAGTTTGAACATCGACCTATGAACCAGGAGGTCAGGGTTCGGTTCCCAATCAGGGCACATGCACGGGTTGTGGGCTCGATCCCCAGCGTGGGGTGTGCAGGAGGTGGCTGATCAATAATTCTCCCTCATCATTGATGTTTCTCTCTCCCTTACTCTCTGAAATGAATACAAATATATTAAAAAACACTTAAAAAGGGTTTAAGCAGCTGGGGCCCTGGTGACTGGCCCACACCAGGAAGGCCCTTGAGGTCGGGCCCTGCAGGCTTCCCCATTCTCCCACGGCCAGGCGGAGATGAGCAGAAGGGAGTCCCGTAACCACTCAACTCCGCCTCCGCTTGCCTCCTGTCCAGCCTGTGGTCGCGTGAGCAGGAGCGGCGGGATTTGCAGCAGGAGGCAGGTGCAGGTATTTGGGAAAAGCCCCGGAGGTTCCGTTACATCCCTCCCCGAGAGCATGGCTGGACTGCAGGCCTTTTTTTGGATAAAAAATATTTTTGATTTCAGTGAGAAAGGGAGATGAAAACATCAATGATGAGAGAATCATGGATCGGCTGCCTCCTGCATGCCCCTCACTGGGGATTGAGCTCGCAACCTGGGCATGTGCCCTGACCAGGAATCGAACCCAGGACCCTTTAGTCCGCCCCACCCACTGAGCAACACTGGCTGGGGCGCAGCTTTCTCCGTCCTGCTTACCTCAGGGATGCTGAGGAGCTGTCTGTAGTTTGCAGTTGCTCTGTGCCCTCTCCAGCTCAGGACCACTGAGCACACTCAGGCTCCTGCCCACCATCGGCTCCCTCAGTGAATGCCACCCCTTCCCCGGAGGACCAGAGAACCGCCCCCGTCAGGGTCAGACACTCCTTCTCGGTTCTTGTCTTGCAGTCTGATGTCCCATGTCCCCCGCTCCAAGGGTGGGGCTGGTCTCTGGCCCAGGTGTGCACCCTGTGCTGGCCTGTGGTGATCACCCAAGGCTGGCCAGCCTTCAGCGACTTGCCATCAATCTAGCTGGGATCCGAGCTCCGACTCGGAGGTCCCTCCTTGGCTGCAGGGACCAGGCCAAGTCTTTTGAGCGAGCAGGGAGCGAAGGCTCTTCCAGGCCAGGGTTGCGGGGCCCCAGGCCCAGAAACCAAGATGAGGGCCAGAGCCAATCAGGTAGTCACTGTATTTTATTGGAAAACATTGATATATATTTTTCTTCACAGCTTGAACTGAACACAATATTGCCCGGTTTAAAAAAACAAAACAAAACCAAAACCAAAACCCAAACACTCCGAAATGTCCACAGCTTCACGCCTACCTGCCCTTTCCCTCAGCTCTTGGCCGGGTCTCCCGCTATGCCCCGTCCCTCCCCTCCGGTCCCGTCCCCACCGAGGCTGGGTGTCAGGGGTGGATGAGAAGATTCTCAAAGCTGGGCAGGTCCCAGAAAAAGCCACGTGATCGACCTGGGGGCAGGGGCAGATGAAACGAACAGAAAAAGGGAAAACAAAACAAAAACAACCCAGACGACCTAACTGCCCACATTGACTTACTTGTCCCAGAGGCGAAAGTCAGAAGCAAGGTCACGGATCATGCTCTCCGCTGGGAGCGTGGGGGCAGGCGGGTGGGCAGGGGAGGCAGGAAAGGGCAGAGGCAGCGCAGATGTGAGGGAGCAGCCACGTCACCACGGAGAAGCGGGAGGGGCCGCGGACCAGGAAGCAGGGCCCTGGCTGGGCTGCTGGTCCTCCCGGCAGCTGGCCCACTGGTTTGTTTATTGCAGGTATTTTTTCTCGAGAGCGTGGTGGGGTGCATCTTCCCTCTCCCCACCCTTCAGCTAGCCCGGCATGGTTTCTGACAAAATTTAGTTTTCAGGGGCATAAAGAAAAAAAACAACAATATAACCAGCACATTACAAAGCGACCATCCCCACCTCGGTTCCCACAAGGGGACCTCAATGCGGGCGGGCGGGTGCGGCAGGAGGGAGGGCATGGGGTGTTAGCACCAGGTATTTACAGAGCAGCTGGCGATCGCGTTGGGAACACGGGCAGGTCTGGGCAGGTACGGTTTGCAGAGTGGCCAATTGAGCGGTCCCACCCAGTCCAGCGCCCGAAAGCCAATCCGACGGTTTTGGAACACCAGCCAGTGGGTTTGAGTGCTGTCCCCCGATCCGTCCCTTTCTGAGTTGGCCCCTCAAGTGGTAAAGAAACCCAGCGTCCAAGTCTCCCTTCCCCGCAACCCCCTCCGGAGCCACATCCACACCACAACCCCTCAGTCCTCCTGGATGCCTCTCTCAGCACCACTGTCCCAAAGGCTGCTGGGATTTGCACACGGATCACAGGGCTGGTTGCATGCAACAGACAAAGGCGTGCTCTTCTGCCTGGGTGAGGGCTTCGTCCCCTCCCTAGCAGGTCCCAGGACAGGACTGGAAGCCACCCCAGCACCCAAAATAAGATGACAAACAGAAGGAAACAAACCGAAACAGAGGAGAGCCACCCGGGCTGGAGGAGGGGGGCGGAGGCTCCCCCAGGAGGACGGGGAGTTCATCTTATAAATGCATCAGGCCCTGGCAGAGGTCGATGGGAGAGGGAGGGCAAAGGAAGAGATGGGGGGCAGGGAAGGAGACTCAGGGAGGGAGGAGAAAGAGCAGTCATGCAGCTGGGACAAATCTTTTGTTGCTTTATCAGATTCTCAGTCAATCGGTTGGTGTTTGCTAGAACTGGAACGCGGGGGAGTGTTGAAGAGAGAGCGCGAGAAGAGAGATCAAGAGAACGGGCATTGCCAGCTGCCCGGGCCGTCACTTTGCGGTCATCATCTGTACAAACTCTGCAAGGAAAGCGGGAGGGAGAGGTCAGCGGGGGAGTGGGGACGAGCCGAGCGGCCCTCCCTGACAGGAGGGACCCGGAGACGGAGCCCAGCGCCCGCTCACCTTCATAATTGACCTGGCCGTCTCCGTCGATGTCAGCCTCTCTGATCATCTCATCCACTTCCTCATCGGTCAGCTTCTCACCCAGGTTCGTCATCACGTGACGCAGCTCTGCCGCGCTAATGTAGCCGTTGCCATCCTGGCGTTGGGCACAGGTAAAGGCTTTGAGCGTGAGGCTGGCACCTGGTCTTCCCCGGGGGCAGTGGGGGGCAGCAGGGGCAGGACTACAGAGCGCCCCGGGCTTCCTGGAGGTGGTGACTCAGTGGCTCTAGTTGTGCTGTGCAGCTCGTGGCCCCGCCTGCTCTGCCCCTCATCCCGGGTCCCCGAGCCGCTCTCACCTTGTCAAAGACACGGAAGGCCTCTCGGATCTCCTCCTCGCTGTCGGTATCCTTCATCTTTCTGGCCATCATGGTCAGGAACTCCGGGAAGTCAATGGTCCCGTTCCCTGGAAGGTGGGAAAGGCGTTGGGAACACCCGTGGCCTGGGCCCTGGGAGATGACAGCCCCTGCCCTCAGGAAGGGCCCTGTGCTCGCGGGGAGGTCGGGGGAGGAGGGGGTGAGGAGTGGGGCTCACCATCCGCGTCCACCTCATTGATCATGTCCTGTAGCTCTGCTTCAGTGGGGTTCTGTCCCAGGGACCTCATCACTGTCCCCAGCTCCTTGGTGGTGATAGTGCCATCTCCATCCTTGTCAAAAAGGGAGAAGGCCTCCTTGAACTCTGGGGGACAAAAGGGAAGGAGTCAGAGCTGGAGGGCCATGGGGAACCCCGACGTTGGGAGGCTGAGGTTGCGTCCCTCCTAAAGACACCAGAACAGGACTTCAGTTCCAGTCCAAGCCCCTCCTTCCTTCCGTCAGCTCTCACTGAGCCCCGCCCGCCGCAGGCACAGGGACCTCTGTGCCAACCTAGCTCAGCGAGGACAGAGGGAAGGGGGCTGACTGTCCTCAGATGATTCCACATTTCTTCTTGGCCTCTGGATTCGGCCCCTCCCTCAAATGAGATGGACCAATGTCATGGAGTGGATGGGAGCCAGGAGAAGTCTCCATCTAAAGTCTGCCAGCCAAGGTCAACGGGCTGGGACAGGGAGGGGGCAGCAGGGGAAGGGAAGCTGCAGAACGCCTTCGGTTGGCACTGCGTCCCTTGCCTGGTGCTGGCAACCGGTTCCCTGGGGCCGGTGCTACCAGCTTCCGGGGGAGCGAGCGGCTGCGTGCCGGAGTGCGGGGTGCCCGGCAGCAGAGCTCAGCTGACGGACGGTGCGTGGGGTGGGTGGGGGGATGGAAGGAAGGGGACGGCTGCCAAGTCAGGAGGATGAGGAGCGAGTGGCACTGAGTGGGAAGGCCACAGCTGGGGACGCGCCAGGAGCGGGAGGAGCACGTGGCGCTAGCCCTCCCACTGGGCCCGTTTTGGCACCTGGCACTCTCTACCCCCAAACCCTCAGAGAGCAGATGCCCAGCAGCCTATTCCCAGAGGGTGTGGGCTGGGGTGAGGCGGGGGACAGTGTGCTAATGGGTACAGGGTGCGGAGTGGGATGTTTGTGCTGCTCAAGGTCAGAGGGTTGGGGCGTGGGTGTCAGGTGCAGTGGGAGCCTCTGGGCCCTGGGGAGCCGGTAAGTCTCCTTGGGGATGCTGCACCTCCCTCGTTGTTCTTGGGGGCAGGGGGCCGCGAGTGGGTCACGTGTGCACCTCAAACTCATGATCACTTAACAAGGTAGTTCTCTGGCTTGCCTCAGTGGGTCTCCGCAGCCACTGGGGCTAAAGTGTAGAAGCTGGGGAAGGGGTAGGAGTGCACTTCTCCCACCTCAGAAGCAGGGCATCCAGTACTTGTCACGGCCCAGTGAGCGTAAGCAGGCTGCCGTTTGGGTAGCTGCAGCCCGAGGGCCGGGAGCTGGTCTCTGTCCTCAGGCAGCTCAGCCCGGGGAGAGCAGGACCCGGAAACCCACTCAGTCACACCAGTTCCTGCAGCTGTGACCCTCTGGCCTTTTGGGCGGGGGGGTAGGGGATGGGGTGGGGTGGGGTGGAACACACACAAAGAAGTTAGGTGGGACCCAGGGATTTCTTTGGTTACTGGGAGATCGTGATGGGCCCTTGAAAGGTCCCGGGTTTGATTTCGGTTAAGGGCATGTACCTGGATTGCAGGCACATCCCCAGTCGGGGATGTGCAGGAGGCAGCTGGTCAATGTTTCTCTCTCATCGATGTTTCTCTCTCATCGATGTTTCTATCTCTCTCCCTTCCTCTCTGTGGAAAATCAATAAAATATATTTAAAAAAAAAACAAAAAAAAAACAACAACAAAAAAAACGTATGGAGCACCTGCTAGGTTCTAGGCACTGAAGGTCCCACAGGGACCAACAGAAACAAAGCCCGGCTCCAGGAACGCACACCCAGCAACGGAGGTACAGCAGGTAAGAGCACCATAAAATGATGTCCGACAGCGAGAGAGGCTACGAGGAAGTAACCAGTGACATGACAGGAGGAAAGGAAGGCTGTTTCCGAGGTGACTTGTGCATGGAAACCGGAGATGGAGGAGAAGCTGCTGCCCAGGCAGAGAACTGGGGACCGCGTCTCTGGGGAGCGCTGCGTGCAGGGGAGTGCAGAGGTGGGAGGGACAGGGAGGCAGGGAGCCCCCCTGCCCAGCCTCCCTGCAGGAGCCGGGACAGACAGTTGGGCCCACCCTGCAGCCACTGATTACAAGGCCCGGATGACCCGCAGCCAGGAGGGGGCGCAGCTTTTGTTGTCTCAGGACCGTGGGGTACGGTGCAGCCGGCACATGGGGGGCGGGGTCTTCTACACCCATCAGCTACACTGCAAGCACAGGCACCAGGTGATGGAGGGGACACTCCTGGCAAGGAAGGTCTGGCTGGGGGGCAGAGGTCCTGAGGCA